GGGCAGGATGCGCCGCCCGCCGCGAGGTGCTGACAAAGCCAAGCGTTTGAACTCCCCGTTTTTAATTTCCACGGCCCTGACGGGACCTTGGGGCGAGCACGTCCGTCCCCCCGGCTCCTGGAGCCCGTTCAAAGCGCGGGGGGAAGCACGAAGCGCAGCTCCCCCTCCTTGGCGGGATGGGGACGGAGGGAGATTCCCGCACGAGTCCCCGCTCCCGCAGCCCCGTTGCCGCCGGCTCCTCAGTGGCTCTGCGACCAGCACGTGTTGTGCGTGTGGGATGCCCAGGGCCGGGACACGTGTGCGGATGAGGCAGCCCTGGGGCAGAACCGCCAGGGATGCGGCTCCCCACATCATCTAGGGGCTCCGCGCCATTGCCGCCGGCTGTGATCCCAAATTAATCTTTAATGGCTGTAATCCCAAATTAATCTTTAATCGGGTGTTAAAGCGGTGAGAGGGGGCCAGGGAGGTGCAGACAGCAAGTGTGGCACTCAAATCAAGCCACCCCGAGCCCGCCTTGCCTGCATGGACCCCTGTCCCATGCCAATGGGCACGACGAGATGGAGCCACGGGAGAAGCCCCGTGTGGGTCCCCAGTGCTGCACAGCAGGGCAGAAAGGGAAAGACGAAAACCGTTAAGCGGTTATATTTAATTTCTTCATCTGAGGATTAACAGCTTGGCGCAAGGGGGTGGGAGGGGAAGAAAAAGAACATGTACAACCAAAATCCTTATCCTCCCTATAGAAATCAGCACAGGTTTCACCAGCCCGGCTTTACAATAGCAATGCTGTGCTGTAACGTATTGGAGAGCTGCCTAGAAAATCATCAGAAAGTATTTTAAATCCAGCATAACATGCATATTTATGGATCACCTTCTGTTTTACTGGGCTCCCTGAAAGCAAAGCGAGGCCTGTTTGACTTCTCCCCATAAAACGGCTCGCGTTTCACAGGCAGGGAGAGTGGCGTCTCCTGGGCTAATTAGCGCGGGTCCCCCTCCACCTCCGCATTTTCCACGCGGGGTTACGCTGGCGACGCGCTGTCTGTCGAGGCCGCGGCCCGGCACGGAGCCGGGGCCCGCGCGGCTCCAACAGGTACCAGCGCGGAGCCGCATGCGGCCCTTGCAGCGACGCCGGCTTTTTTGGG